ATCAATTAATCGAAAATTAATAGGGTTGAATATAATTTCTTTCGTGTATTTTATTGTTGATCCAAGCGTTTTAAATCCAAGGGTCTTCTTTATTTTTCCATTAATATCCAAATATTCCATTATGGATTCATTGCTATATAACGCAAATTTGACCGTTTTCCTGTCGATCAAGAATCATTTTTTTTAAAAAGATTTATATATTATAGGTCCATAAAAAAACACAATCCAGATTATATCACTAGTTGTAAATAACTACAACTACCATTTGATTATTTTGAAATATTAATTGAACTTTTATGTTCCAGTAGCGAAAGAACGTTTTGTAAACAACAAATCTGTGAGTAGAACCATTATTAACAAAAAGTGAACAAGTTTTGTAAACTGGGTCAACGAGGGACCTCGAAGTCTCCGAGTAACATAAACTGAAAGTTTGCAAATATTTATAACTGTAATTACTTTAAACTTGGTTTCAGTATTGATAGGAAGAATTTAATCGGGTTATTGTATTTTAATCAGAAACTATTTTCACATAGGAGGTGATTATAATCGACTATTACTATAGCTACGCATAAAGTCGACCACCATGGAAGTAGATTACCATGGCTAATATAGATGGAATAATTATTCCAGTCAATTATAATAATTATACTCCAATCTAGCCCAAAGTGGAAGTTTATGACTCCATCGTCCGTTGTACATAGGAATGGTCATATAGGAAAATGACCCCTAGGGCTGCTGATGATGGCCAATGAGCCCGAAACAAATATTTAAGCCATAGAGGACTTTTTTTTAAATTCGGTTTTCTTTCTTTTGTTTGTCATTAAAAATTAGTGACAATGTGGAGAGCAATATGTAATCAATTTTGGCCAAATGTAAAACTTCCTAGGAAGGAACTTCCTAAGATTCAGCAGGATCGGAAGGAATCCTTTACTAGACCTTTATATCTTTTGTGTGTTATTTCAATAGACAACAAGCACCATTTGGCCGCATTTACTATTAACTACTTTGTAATAAAGAAACTGTCAAATTTATGCATTACTTGCAAGGCTGCATAAATAAATTAAACTAAGACAATTTTTATAATGACAATTTCGTTTAAAAAAAATTATTCTACTCGAGGTAGAACATGTATTAGTTCCATTTTCTACGTTGCCATTTTTTCAACCAGAGTACAAATAGTTTGGTCGTTTCCTATTATTCTGGATCGCGTATCCTCGCTGTTTCTGTCTGCGACATTCGTTTTAGACTCTAAAGTATGAATTTTGTATGTTGCTTTTGCTCAAACCTTTACATAAACATGTGACTTTTATTATTGCCAGAGTTTTTTCACAATTTAATTAATTGGATGTGGTATTTTGCTTTTAAAAAAATTAAATTTTAATGAGAATTGAACCTGGAATTTTAATTTTTTAGTCTGCGTTCATTCAAACATGTTTAAGGAATTACAACTCAAAAAATCCCCAATTTAGTCATTTCTATCAAATCTATTTTCCAATTATACGTTTATTTCTATTGACTTGCGTTTATCTAAAATCAAACTGGCTGTACGATTTCAATTTTTGACACTAGGAACAATGAATTGACCGTAAAATATGTACAAGACTAATAAAAACGTTGGGTCGTTTCAAAAATCATTCTGGTTCGCATGTCCTCGCTGATTCTGTCTGCGAGATTAGTTTTTGACGCTAAAATATGAATTTTGCATGTTGGTTTTGGTTAAAAATTTACTTAAACATGTAGCTTTTATTATTTCCTGAGTTTTTTATAATTTAATTAATTGGATGTGATACGTTGCTTTAAAAAAACTTAAATTGTAATGAGAATTGAACTATGAATGTTAATTTTTCAGTCTGTGTTCATTCAAACAGGTTTAAAGAATTACAACGTCAAAAAATCCGTAATTTTGTCATTTACATCAAATCTATTTTCTAATTAGACAGTTTATTTCCATTGACTTGCGTTTGGCTAAAACCCACCTGGCTTTAAGATTTCAATTTTTGACAGTAGGAACAATGAAATGTCTGTCTGAACAGCAGAAAGTCGACGATCTCTGCATTTTCCGGATTGATTCCGTTTTTCAACACGTCTTCGGTCCTGATACGCGATAGAATCCGTAAAATATGTACAAAACTAATAAAAGCATATAGCAGTTTCTATCTGCGAGATTCATTTTTGAAAATCTGCATTTTGTATGTTTTTTGCTCATAAGTTTACTTAAACATGTCACTTTTAGTACACCCAGAAATTTTTTTTTTATAATTTAGTTAATTGGATGTGGTACTTTGCTTTAAAAAATTTTGAATTTTAATGAGAATTGAACTGGGCATGTTAATTTTTCAGTCTGTGTTCATTCAAACAGGTTTAAAGAATCACAACGTCAAAAAACCGTAATTTTGTCATTTCCATCAAACCGATGTTCTATTAAAGGTTTATTTCTATTGATTTGCGGTAAGCTAAAACCCAACTGGCTTTACTATTTCAATTTTCGAACCACGAAATGTCTGTGTTAACAACGTAAAGTGAACTTATCTGCATTTGTAGGATAAATTCCATTTTTACACACATCTTCTGCCTTATTGTTAATACGCGATAGGATCCGTAAAATATGTACAGGACAAAAATATATATATAGTTTGGGCGTTTTCAACCGTTTTTTATTTTGGTCCGCCTATCCTCGCTGGTTTGTTTAGTTATATTCGTTTCAACCCCCATCGAGTGGGATTTGTACCCAATCGAAAAAAAGTATTTCCTCCATAAATTCTTCTAAATTTCTTGTTGAAATCTGCCAGCGTTGAACTTGTCGTTTGATCCTTTTCCGCCTATCATCGTTGTTATGGTTTATTTTTTTATTAAAAAAAAAGAGTTTATTACTTCCACAAATGTATTAAAAAACTCGACCAAAAAAATACAAAATGCCAAAATACATCTGACAGACAAAAAGCGAAGATAGTCGGGCCAAAATGATGTCGAACACCAATTACATGCCCATTACCAGCAAAGCTGAAAAAGAAATCACACTAGATTTCATTCTCCGTTTAGAATCCCATGTACCTTTCACTATTTTTCTTAAAGGGGTCAAATCATAAATCACATCAGTATGTAATATTAACATAACCAAACGGTTCGACTGTCGCCTGTATTTTAGAGTAACCCCACATCACAGACGCAACCTGGACTTTGATGACGTCTCCCCCTGTTAATTGAACTTGCCTCCTTGGCAATTTATCCACTCTTTCATTATATTTAATATCATTATAACCTTCATGCCCCTTGACCCAAGATATAATTATATTCTTGTTGTGTTAAATTAAATTCTATATTTTTTTAAACAATTTTTTTAAAAATATATTCATATAATTATTTGGAGATTGTGAGAAGCGATCTGGTGTGACGTACGTTTTAGAAAAGCATTTTCTTTATCGTGCCACGTTTCTAGCTTTATTGAGATCATCTTCAGGGCTCAAAGACTCTACTCCCAATACGACACACAAAAATGGCACAACTACGCAGTAAACAAACACTCAGCCCTGAAGATGATCTCAATAAAGATCGAAACGTTGGAACGACAAATAACATGTTTTTATAAAACCTATGTCACACCAGACCGGATCTCACGATCTCCAAATAATCATTGGCTAACTAAACACCACACATATATTTATATATATATTATTCATATTAAAACGTCGTCGTAGGGTTACTGTTCTGACACTGTCAGACAGAATACCAATTTTTGTCAATGGTATTTTCGTATAATACTCGAAAGCTTCAGTCGTGAATGAGCTTCAGAGATTCGGAAGCACAATTTTCTCGTGATAGCTGTTGATTGTCATAAAATGCACAACATACGGAATATAAGAAGATAATCTGGAAATATCCCGTAACTATCCGCTCTGGATTGCTTCTTGGTCAGATTAGCTGGATACACTGGATAATCTTTCAACTCGTGAATTCCTCATTGTTGTAAGCTTTTGTATGTCCTTCGATCGAGCCATTGCTATTAAAATAGATCTCTCTACACGTAATTATGGTTTTTTAACGAGGGTGCGCAACAGCAGAGGTTATAGGCACCTCGGGGTGCCGGTGTTTTTGAAAAAAGCCCATTTGTAAGTATGTCGCGTTCAGGATGCAGGGTTGCTGGATTCGTACCCGGGACCTTTACCTTACTGTGATGAGCGCCGTTTCAACGCCTAAACCGTTGCGGCCACTGACGCCCCCCCCCCCCAATTATGGTTATTATATTAGAAAAGAACAATGTGGCAAACCAATTTCTCAAAGCTTGGACTGTAGTAAATCGTAAGCCGTCTCGATATCCACAAAAAAGGCTAGAATATCCAAGTGTCTTTTGGATAGCAATTTGAAGCTCATGCTGCACAACCACTTTTTTAATTTTGTCGTATTTTGTTTAGCTAATGTTCCCCAGAATTCATAGAACATTCAAATTATCCTAATTAGATAACAGGGTAATGTTCTGGTCTCCTTTACCAGGAGATTACAGATTGTCATTCCACCTCAATCCACCATCCATTACCTTAACAATTCAAAATATGCTGGGGTAAAGCGAGTGAAAAAGCTTCAGAAGAAGAATGAAATAGCTAAATTTGCCCAAATTAGAGAAAATTAATGATTGCGGACAATATATATAAATTAATGTAAACAAAAAACCTAAATATAAATCAATGGTCTAAATCTACAAAATAACCACTATTTTTATACCAAAATAACAATATTAGGAAATCCCAACATGAAAAATTATTTCGGGTAAAATAATAATTCTTATTATAACTGTTCTTTTAATAAGAAGTATTTTTGGAACTTTTGTACTTTATCGCATAGGAGTGACGCAAGGCTTAAATCGGGAAATGCGACTACGTTATTTTCGAACGGTCGTTTATAGATTTCGTTTTTTTGTCTTTTTTGCCGAATCTCGGACCTCGAAATAGCAACGTTTGCGACACCCCTGTGAGTCATTTCGTCTACCGAAAATATTATTATCTCACATCAGCATTGGCCGCTTGCAACTTGAAAACTTCGTCTTGGCAGCTCCTCAGCTTTTTCTTCAGCTCCTCGTACTCGGACACTTTGTTCTCCGTTATGTTCTGATCAGCCTGAAAATAAACAAAAGTCTTTAGTTAGTCTTAAGAATAATATAATAATAAATAACAACCCGTCGTTTAAATGTTCAAATGTACACTTGCTAATAGTCTTTGGACGTCTAGAAATATGTGACAGATAAAAGGCAATGTTAAAAATGTATGCTATGTTAAATAAAAAACCGTAAATAAAACAGTCATTTATTAACAATATCCCTAAGGGTCCATTATTAATGGTTTCAATGGGCTTCAGGTGGAATCGATAAATGACAATTGACTCAGTCGCTCATACGCAAGAAAACACACATACATATACATTTATGTAAACAAAGCTCGTAAAATTGTACCGTTTATTTTTATCTTTGAAGTAAACTTTTTTACTACTGTTTACTGCTATTAACACGCGGTTTTTTTTCCAAAATTCGTTAAAAAAACACTGATACAAGCGTTGAATACATATTATTGTCACAAGGTAATGCAGTTTACAACTCCAGATTTTATTGAGACTTGATAGGCTAACAGCAAGGACGATTTGACATTTTATAATTTACAGAAAATCCTAACCATTTTGCAGAATGTATGCATAAACAAACACGAGAACACAAGAGAGAGTAAGAGTAAGAGAGTGAGAGAGAGAAAGTGAGTGAGTGATCGAGTGAATAAGTGAGAGTAAAGAGAGAGAGAGAGAATGGAGAGCGCGATGAAGGTAGAGGGAGAGAGATAGATATATAGAGAGAGAGAGTGAGAGAGAGAGAGAGAAAGAGAGAGAGAGAGAACGATAGTAAAAAGAGACATATATAGAGAAAGACACGGAAAACTAGAGAGAAACAATATAAGTGAGACAGATAGTTCGAATAGTTCGCGTGAGAGAGAGAGAGAGAGAGAGAGAGAGAGAGAGAGAGAGAGAGAGAAAGAGAGAAAGAGGGAGAGAGAGAGAGAGAGGGAGAGGGGGGAGAGAGAGTGGGTGAGTGAGAAAGAGAGAGAGAAAAACAGGGAAAGATAGAAACCATAACAGCGAAGTAGATAGATTAGATATATAGATAGATATAGCGATAGAAAGCGACAGAGAGAGAACAGAGAGAGAAGAGAGTGAACGAGAGAGTGTGAAAGAGAGAGAGAAAGAGAGAGAGAGAGAGAGAAAGAGAGAGAGAGAGAGAGAGCGAGAGAGAGAGTGAGAGAGAAAAACAGCGAAAGATAGAAACAATAACAGTGAGGTAGATAGATTAGACAGATATATATAGAGAAAGCGATAGAGAGTGATAGAGAAGAGAAGAGAGAGAGAGAGAGAGAGAGAGAGAGAGAAAATAAAAACAAAGGTCTCGTTAATAAAGTGTAAGTAATAATAAAATTTGGATTCAACCAAATTGATTTCAAAAAATCCAAATAAAGAAAAAATCCATTTTTCTGCCTTCATAGACATTTATTTTAAACCAACAATTTCATGAGTAAAAATAACTCGCCTAATAAGATCAGTAAAGAAATAACGTCGTTTTGTCAATACTTATTATTTTAAAATAGCCAAAATCATCAACTCATCATCTATCATTTTATCACTGCAACATAAGTTTCGGTAAAAGTATAGCGTTGTCAAAATAAATAATGATTATTTAGTGTGTTTTCTGTGTAGGTGTGTCATTATTGTGTGTCATGTTGAGAATGCCTTTTTTTGAGATGGAAAGTGAGTGCCCAACACAACACACAATAATGACACCTCTGCACAGAAAACAAAACTTTGAGGCCTGAAGATGATCTCAATAAAGATTGAAACGTTTGGCACGATAAAGAAAATATTTTTCTAAAACCTACGTCACATCAGACAGCATCTCACGATCTCCAAATAATCATTAACTAACTAAACAAAACACAAAATAAATAATTTTGCTTTACTATCTATATTAACTTGTATCGATTAAAGTCATTTGCTTGAATTGATTGATGCTATTGGCACTTAATGGCTAGATATGTTAGCTTTTATTGCAAGATTAGTATATTTATCAATGGAATAAATTGAATGGAATTTGTTAAACAAGCAGTAATAATCTCTGGAGATAACCTGAACCAGATAAGGTAGATAAACAGTATCTAATATAAGGAATGTCACTTATTCCTAGTGAAAATAATTCAAGAGCTGTTTTTGATTTTTCCATCTAATTAAACTATCGCCAAAATGCATGCATAATAATTATTGTTAAATTTATATCAGTCGTAAAATTTATTTGGTGGGCTACTAACGGCCGGTCACAGATGGGTTTTGTCAAAGTGGAAAAATTTCTTTATTGTAACGTATTAGTTTAAAAATATAGTTCGTTCTAAAAAATAAATTTGTAAGCCTTTTAACTTGAATATTTTACTCGATTTTGTACGGTTTCCTCAGAAATAAGGAAATTCTGTGCTGAATCTGACCATTTCGAACAATATTGTGTGTGTGTGGTTTTTTTTTTTAAATTTTTAAAATTTAAAAAAAAAATAATAATACATGAAATGTTAATTTTGATTTTTTTTCTTAAACCTTTACATAAATATGTCAGTTTTATTACTGCCAGTGTTTATTTACAATTTCATTGATTGGAAGCGGTACTTTATTTTTAAAATAAGTTTGAATATTAATGAGAATCGAACAGGTAATATTATTTTTTAATAGTTATTAGTTTTTTGATAGTTGAACCAGGTTTTAAGAATTAAAACATCAAAAAACCTGTAATTTTTTAATTTCCATTAAATCTATTTTCTATTAGAAGTTTACTTTTATTGATTTGTATTTAGCTAAACCACAACTGGCTGGGCTTTTGACTGTGTGAACAGCTACAGCCTCCGGTGAAATAAAGTTTTTCAACACGTCTGTCGGCTTAAGAACGAGATAGGATCCGTGAAACTCAAGATTTACGGCCATTATTTTCTTTAGTGAGCCTAGGGCGAAAGATTCTCCGGTATTTTCGTCGTACACGGCAACGAGGAAAAATGCTGGTTCAGAAAAGGCACGGTGAATCCGTGCTTTTTAAATACTTTAAAAAATCAACAATGAAAATGTATCAATTTTATGTAAACCTGGATATCATTAAGAAAAAAAGTCTGCTGAAAATCGAATTTTTTAATCTTCCATTACTATTTATCTAATGTTACAGATTTAAAACTTTTATCGGTGTAAAAAAAAGAGTCAATTTTTATCAGTAGCTGATCGTCGATCCATTTGAAACAATGTGCAGCCTGTCTAACAAAAAACTACCTGGTGAACAGCTTTGAACTTTTCTTACCGAACCCCTTTGGGTTGGTTGTTGGCCATAGACGCAGAAATCTTCAAATTAAATTGCTCAAACGGTCGGAAAAAAAATTTATACGCGTACAGATACAAGAAAATGAATTTTTATTGTGTTTTTTATTATTGGCCGAAATTTCAAAATGTGTAGCGAGTTTACTTGTAAAAACAAGTGTTTGTCCGACATTCCAGCATCTGTGTTGGACAGATGACATTCGTGACAAGCAAATTTCAAAGAAACTACCAACATGCTAAATAAACCGCATAAATATGATGTTCACAGTTAAACTCGCCAAAATTTCTGATATTTTGACTAACAAGAAAAGCAGCACAGTAACGATTGTCCAACAGGGAAAAACGAGATAATATAATGAAGAAAGGAGTGAATTTTATTTTTGCGGAATTACTAACGTTCCAAGGCAGCGTTTTACGTGCAAACATCTTTTGAAAACGATGCCACTTGAATTTTAACGACCGATAATTATTCCAGATTTATCGTTAGTATTGAAAAAATAAGCTTTTGATATATCTAAGTTTTTGTCTGGCAGTCACTGAGGCAAAATGAACATGAGTCTCTATATCTATATCCTAGTATATAGTATCAATAGTTCGGCCTTTCTCCTTTGCCCAGTATGGATTTAATTTTTCACCTATGGTTCGTCGGGTATTTGAGAAGAGTTTGAAAAGATGCTTTTGGGTCTAATATATTAGATTTTAAGATATTTCTTTTCATTGGTTATTATTTCTACATAAAAAAGGCGGCTAATAACCTTTACATACAATTTTGACTGTAGGGGAAAATATGTATATCAGATTTCTTGTACGATTATTGAAGGATCGGGGAACGGAATTTTAAAAATTGTGCCTGTTGATATTTAAGAAGGACAGCCTAAAGGTTGGACAGAAGGAGAGAAACCCAATGAGGAAAACACGACAAAAAATTTCTTTTATCGACATGCCAAGTATAAGCGCTTGGGTAAAACGTTTTTACTCGACGATGAAAAACACAGACTCCATCTTTAAAAGATAATAATAATAAAATAAAATCAAGGATGGACTTACGATCCTCAGGCCACGGGTCGCGATGAAAATCGCCGTCGGGTCTAAAAGGTGGACATCCTTCATTCTCATGTCGATGACTGGCACTGGCTCTTTTCCTGCTTGCCGAGGAGAAAGAGAGGGCCGCTCCCCTCCCACGGGAAGCCGAACGCCGACTCCAGCCGATCCCCTTCTCCCGACGGGACCGAAATGGTCAACAAATACGTACCGGTACCGAAATGTTGGAATGGGTCCGCGGAGTTGCCTAAGGTGCTCTGGGGGGTGGGGGGTATCATCCCGTGTCAAATTTCGACGGTCGTAGTCATATCAGAGGTGCATACTGCATCGTCCTAAAGGGCCTTACCTTCGCTCAGTTTAACTACCCGTTGTGTAACTATTCAGTTTTTCCTAAATTTGTATCAATTTTTTTGACATTGTTCTTGCCTTAGTGTCGCCAAATGGGTATCTCAAAAAAGACCATGAACCAAGGAATGGTTGGAAAAGGCATCTCCGTTTCAGAAAAAAAAGCTTTTCGATAATTGCGGAAATTAACTAATTTTTAGGGGACCGCGGTAGCCGAGTGGTTAGCATGAGAGACTCTCACGCCGCGGTCGTGGGTTCGATTCCCACCGTCACCTCTGGCCCTTTTTTCACAATAACCCCCCCCCCCAAATTTGAACACGCACATATACGAATTGTCACATGGCTAATATGCATAGTTCATAACGCAAAAATTTACCGGAGGTCCCATAGTTCAGGACAAATCCAGAACACTTCGACTTCAATGATCACATCCTCACGTGGGCAGCCACAACTGAACACTATACAAGGTGTTTTATAACACCATAGTATTTTTTTCTTTTTTTTCCATAACCCCGGGTAGTTTATTGATGCATACCCCATTTTAATATTACATGTATGTCTTATGCAGAGCAATGTTAATTATTTAATTTTTTTAAGTTTTTAAAATCAATAGTTCATAACAAGTGTATTAATCCTGTACACAAGTCTTTATTTTGCACAAATATTGTTGGCGTGACGATCTGCAGGACCCAGGTACGAAGTAGGGATCTCTCTTTCTCGAAGTTTGGGCAATGGAATATTATGTGTTACCAAGTTTGTGTGAACATCGGTCACACAGGCCCATCGGGTCCAGTAAAACGTTAAATCTGTTCAGATATGCCATATTATATAACCACCACCTAGAGGAACCTGCCTTCAGTAAAGGAAGCTCATAAGGGCACCACCGAACAACAAGCTCTTCTCTAAGTACCCGCCAGACCTACGACCAACGATGAATCTATTCCCGCATAGCACGCTACTGGGCTTGGTGAAGACAGTGTGCTCTCCCGCCGTTCAGCTGTTTATACACCTCTCCCATCTGTGCAGATAGGATCTGGTGCCCTAACCCACGTGTGCCACTGATCAAGCACCCACCACCCGCGGCCGGCTCACAAGCCGACAATTCCTTAAAGCATTTCGAGGGACTGAGTAGGCGTAGTCTTTGCATTCTCGCATGCTCAGGACCGGGAGTGTGTAAAGTGCTTTAATTTTAACTGAATACCATCATCCTCTATATAAGTAGGCCACCGCGCCAATATCCATAATTTCATTCTATAGATTAGTGGCGTAGCAACCCTGTTGTCCCAAAACAGAAAAGTTCTCTCACACCGTTTTCCTACTGCAGAGTTGCACATGCACATTTTCAACAAGAACGAAAGATGGAACGGCGCAGAGTATCGTAAATGTGTTTGTTGTTAAACGTCGATTGTACGTACAAATCATCAGGATGCATCGGGATCGCATTAATATATTGCATGTCATGTCTATAAAGAGATGCGCAAATGGTATAGAATTACTCCTGATTGCCCTCATTACTAATAATTATATGGCATTTACTAAAACTACTGAGCTTGTTTTGGTTTACTATTTCATCAGGGGTCCTCCTAAATTATCAGATTACGGTGGGCCTTCAAATCACTGTTTTAGTGTTTTAGTATTTACTATTGGTCAATCAAAATGATCAGTGAATCGTGAAAACAAAAACCCGTTGAAAGATCAAAATTATTTCATATAAAAAAAGACGGATTACTACACACTGAGTTAACCTCTAATTACTGCAATTTTTGAATTTATTATTCTACGCTATTATTGTAATTAAATATCTTGGTCTGACTTGTAATAACTTTTTACCGACTTTTTCCTCATTGGGTTTAAATCCCAAGGCTTTTCATGTTGCCAAGTTTCGAGCGAGTTTCCCGAAGACGTCCATGTTCCGTTTGTCGTACACGAAGTCTATTATAATTTTAACCCGCGGTTTATGTGGAATAGCGTCATCTCCCGCTACAATTCACTGCACAAACAACGTACGTAATAGTTTTAAAATTAACTCGTACCCACCGTTAAAAGTTGCTTATTTTAAAATGCGCGCGTTGTTTTAAAACTATTCTCTTCAACTTGATTTTCATTACTGACTGTTTAAAAATGAATAGGGATATTGCCAATTTTTTTAATATTTACTTTTCCTAGCATATTTATTTTATTTTTATTATAACTTGCATTAAAATTTATTATAAATTTTTGTTTTTCTGGAGGAAAATTTAATTAAGGAATTTTGAAAAATAACAAAATAAAAGGTTTTAATTCCATAATTTTGTTCATTAGGCACAATAATTTTTTAAACAATTAATGCACATACATGTCCTTTGTTAGCTAAAACCTCTGTGCACCTGTTAGGCATACTGTTAAAAAGGTTGTCACTAATTTCATAAGGAATTTCAATCCATAGAAGTTGCAACGACACACTCAGTTGTTGCAGATCAATTGGTTGCGGAGGATGATCGCCTTTTCTGCAACGCATTCCACATGTTCTCAATGGGAATGAGGTCTGGACACAATGGGGGAAGGGACAGTTGGAAAATTACCATGTATTGTAAACATAGAAGAACAACTCTGCCTCTCTGAGGTCTGGCATTCATCCAGAAATAGAAAATCCCTGCCAATGAGATTCCTGGTTTGAGAGAGCATTCCTCAATAATTTCTTGGGCATAACTGAGGTGAGGTTGCCTTCAACAATATGGACTCCAGTTCGTCTTCAGTGTAAGTCCCCAGACCATTACACCGCCTCCTCCACACTGCACTGAAAGAGGTACGAACTGGGGCATTGTACGCATCCCCTATTCTCATTAGACTCTTCAGCACCTGCTATCACTGTACAGACAGAAACGCGACTCATCAGTAATATAACAGCATTCCAATTGGTGTTACCTTCTAGGCGCTTGCTTCACTTATTCTCCTGAGTTCTGGTGGCGGGCAGTTGCTGCAGGTCCTCTCAAAGGTGCCTACGATGTGAGGCAACTTCCCACGAACGATTCGTATAAAGGCCTTGCCATAACGTCTTGTACTTCATTTAGGAAATGGCTGACACTATGGAAAGGGTTCCGTCCTGCAGCAATGGCAATATTTCTGTCCTCCCTTAGCCTCCTAATGCGCTTAGATCCACTACCAGGCTTCCTATTGGCACTTCCAACCTCTCGGAATCGGGAACAGCCCTGAAGACAACGCTCTGCGAACGCCAACTGCCTTTGCGATATCCACTTGCCGGTGACCTCAATGACTCATTCTCACGATAATATTGCGAACTTCTGGTCCAAAATGATGTCTTTCCATGGTTAAAGCTGGAGATTAACCAATGGATTAAAATGGAGAAAAGGCGAGAAAAGAGTTTACGAAATGAGTAATCTTCATGTTTACTATTCTTAAGTAAATCGTAATTAAAAATGAAGATTAACAATTGTTTTTCGATTCTATTTTGTTTTGTTTTACCCAACTAACAAGAATATAATTAAAACTAAAATAATAAGAATAAATTACAATTATTCATTTTGTGGAGTTTATATTGGTAAACAATGGATAATGGATCAAAGGGAAAACAGCCATTTTTGTCCACAAAGACGAGACTAGTGACAATATGTACATTCAATCTATTGTTATTTATTTTTATTAAGTATTTTCACCAATTGATAGTATATTCAATTTTTTTAATATTATTTATTTAATTTTTTATTAGGTTTGATAATCTCGTATGCTCTCAGTAGTCAAGATTTTAAATATATTTGTATTTGAAACAACTATACGCTAGGTCTATTCTTCCGGAAAAAAAAATTATATCAGTACAAAACTTATTTACAAATTTCAATATGTTTTTAATGATTCTTATTATATGTTAATGCCTTTTGTCATTATTTCCATCATCGTAACGTACATACGCTACATTTACATATTTTGTTATGTACAATTAGGTTTCAATTTATATGTAAATGTAATGTATATGACAAATGTATATAAACTTGATGATCGTTTGTATTGAAATGCTTATAATCGTCTTCAGTAGCGTATATTTTGATTAAGCTTATATCGAATAATAATGTTACAAAGACCAATTAGATATACCGATTTTTCCAGGTTGCCAGTATTTTTCATCGATCAATTGATTGTTTATTAAGGAGGAATATATAGATGGCGTATAATGATCTTTTATTTTTGTTAAATTAGCATAATTGCATGTATAAAATTTACTTTCAATACAAATTGTGGCGACTTGAAGTCAGAAGAGCCGTTTTGTGGTTTCCATACTTATTAGAAGGCGTCTCCTTTAAAAAATAAAGTGTCTAATTAAATCTAATGAATGTTTATCACAGAACTTTATACATTTTCAAGGTCTTTCTTTTGAGCATAAATAGATATGCGATATTTTACAAGGATTTGTTGGTTTTATTTATCGTTTTATTATTCTCCAATACGTTTATGTTTTTTCAACCACGTTCACCTGCATTCCACTACAATTGGACAAATATCATGTAAAAGATTGCGATAATTTCAGTCTTAAGGCTTAAGGTTTTTTCCATGACATGGTGATTTAAGCCAAAGTCCTGTCATAGAGGAGGGCTTGATGTGAGACGTCAAACTACCCGTGTCTCCTGGAAGAGGGGTCAAATTTACAATACCTTTTTCATACTATTCTCAATTAAAATTCCAAGGTACTGGACAGGATTCGAACCCAGAACAGCTAGCGTGGTACTACGTAGCGAGTCTCTTCTGAACCGATTGATATTAGTTTAGTTTTAGCTCTTAGACTTTTTTTCTTCATAACATGTTTCTAAATTTAGAAAGACTTGCTTTGAAGAATTGATCCACCTAAACATTTAA